TATTGTTATATATATATATATATATATAGAGGGAGAGAGAGATGCATCTATATACAAAATAAAAAATTTATTAAGCATGAAATAAGTAACTTATTAATAGTAAAAGTACTATAAAAACGAAAGTAACAAAAAATAATAAAAAATTTATAGTAAGAATTCTATGCAAATATTGAAGGAAAATTGAACAAAATTATATAAAAATGTTATTACTAAAGCCCAATTCTATAAATAAAATCTATGCCAACACATTTAATTTTTTACATTTCTGTCATATATTTATCGTCTTAAGATAATAGAAATAACATATAATATTCTACTAGGGATAAAAAGAAATTACTGTTCATTCATTATGCTAAGCTTCAATTCATATCGCATTGCATCAGTTAGCAAAACTTATTGAAAAACTATTTTTAAATTTAAAATAATTTTCGTCGTAAACTAAGCAGTCTTTATAGATGACTTTTTTATTAGATTTAGCATATTTTTAAAAAAAGTTCAATATCATTAGCAATAATAAACTACCTACGTCCTTCATTGCTAACTTTGCTGCAAGGGTCAAAGGTGTCAAACTCTGACGATTTTTAATATCTAAAGAAGCTCCACATTCATATGACATATCAAATATTTCCTAAAAAAACAATAGTTTTATTAATTTAATCTATTTCTTAAAAATATGCCAAGTTTATATTTTTAAAACATTATATATTCCACACAGTTTAAGATATTTAACGTAAGTGAAAGTTTTTAAACAATTTTTTTATAGCTTACGCTCTAAATTTCCTAAACTAATAATAAAAGGACTAAAAAAATAGTTTTTTTAATTAACATGTTTTCTTACTAAGCGCAAAATTTAATTTTTCCATTCACAAAAAATGTGCCAGAAGTGTAATTTACAAATTAATCACGTTTAAAATATTCACAAAAAAAATTTCTTTCAAACGATTTCTAGTGTGAGTAATAATTAAATTGATAAATTGTTATTATAAAAATGCTAGTAAAATTGCAAGAATTTACAGGAACTTTTGAATTTATAACTGAAAGCAATCGAATGTTTATTCGAATTTTATAATTTATTCCTTTGAATCTAGCATTTTCAAACGTAAACATTAAATTTCCGATTACGATGAAAATTTTGAACAGTCAATAATGCTTTTCGTCGGTAAAATTCTTTAAACGTGACAACGCATTCTGGATAAGAATTGTAGTTTTTGGCATTTTAGAGCTCAATAATTACATCGAAATTTGATCTGTGTGACCTAATAAATTTGATGTGTGATGTGATTCGAATACCTAAAATCTATCTGTAAAAAAATATTTAAGGAAAAAAAAACATTTGGTGAGTGACGCAGGAATAATTTTTCGTACATGTTAACGTGTTCTTTAACATTTAATCAGCCTAAGAAAGTAAAATTATGACTATTCATTAGATAAAAAAATACTTTTAATACTTACGAGTTTGTTTTGTATAACAAGAATATGCAAAACAGTATTTCCATTTGTGTCTTGAATATCAGGATCGGCGCCCTTAGCAAGTAAGAGACGATAACATTCCTCTTGGCCTAAACACGCTGCAAAAGATAATGGATATTCACCCCAATACACGTATCTGAAAAGAAATAAGATTTTGCATAGAGAAAAAAAATTGTGCTGAAATTACGGTATTAAGCGGTAATAATATTTCTTATATAAAACAAAATTCTGCTGAAATTACGGTACTGGGCTGTTACGATATTTCTTATAAGAAAAAAACAATGCACTACGATGATGTTTTGAGTTGAGGAAACATTTTTGTCAGATATTTGAGAGTTCGTGTTTCGTCAAAATCACGTGAATCATGGCAAAATGATTCTTATAATTAATGAAAGGATTGCTAAACCGTCAAAAGTGAGAATTTCATTTCTGAGAGTGTAAGGACTTTCCCTATTTACCTTGCATATTTTTTCAACGAAAAACATAAAGAAAAGACTTTATTATTTGATTAAAAGATAACTTAAAAATAATGTACGACTATAAAAATATTTAAAAGAATTAAGCCTAAATTATGAATTCAAAAAAGAAACATGCTTTAAATATGCATGATTAGTTCTAACTTAATATATTCAGATATTTTTATAATTATAATAATTTTTATTTTTTTAAAAAAAAGTTAAAAGTGAAACACTTGGTACCACTATTCTCTAGATTATTAATATATTTCTTTACTATTTTTACTTACACTGAAAGAATTAAAAATACTTCTTGTAAGTTTTATTTATTATTGAACTTTGTCTAAAAATTTATTTGGAGCTAGAAAAAATAACTTACCCTTTATAATCAGTTTTTATGCTTACATCTACCCACTCATGTTCTAAACTATCTGAGCGACAAAATTTTTGATCTTCAGGTAAAAAGAAACTACCGTTGGCTCTTTCATTAAAATTAGCTCCATGGTCCAACAAAAACTTTACCACTACAGGATCTTCATTCACAATAGACATGTGCAACACATTTTCTCCTAAAAAAGTCACATATTTAATCCTAAGAAATGGTTCAATGAATATATAATTATATATAATAGCAGTTGTCGGGAACAATACGCCTTTAGAAAGTGGGCGTAGTTGGCGTGGATAAATTTCCGGTTGCTTAACGGTATAAGGAAAAAAAACATTTAACATATGTTTACAATTTGAATACTATAACAGTTTGAGGATAGCCTGGTCGGTAGGGAGCAGGGCCCATGTCCGAGAGTTCGTGGGTTTGAGCCCCGCCGGTTGAAGACTCCCCTTAGAGTAAATGGTGACTGATGTACGTTAAATCTGTCGAGTCGCAAATTCCTCCATGTTCTTATAACAAATCGATACCTCTGGGGGTACTTATTCAGGAGTTTCCGTGTCATCTAGATTGGTTCAAAATGTGGCTGTGTGGCGCAGTTGATTTGTAGTTGGCCTTCTGAGCCCAAGTCTGCGGGTTCGATACCCGGCCCAGACACCGGATTTTCGGGATGCAGAAAATCCTCAGCGGCCAGGTCGTATGCTTATGCGGCATGTGAAAGATAACTGGAGTGCCTTATTGGCTCTTGGCATTTCCGGCAAAATTAAATTCCTAGTGCACTTTAGCATCCAAATAGAGTCTCGGTGCTGCCATCTAGTGTGACAGAAACTAGATGTCCAAATTAACATGACCAACGGTATCTCACCCATTGTGGTGGTCCTAAAAAAGTGGATACCACCTCTGGAGAACGCACTAGGTCTGCTCATCGGCAAGACCACTTGTGCAGCTCATTACAAGTAGTAAAAAAAAAAGATTATTTCAAAATTACAAGGCTACGGATATGATCATTAGTAGTCGTAACCCAAAATCGGGTAGGCTGCTCAACGATGGATATAAAATTAAATACTTAACAGCTTGGATACTATATTTTTATGGTTATTTGACTTTTTTGGTTTAATATGGTAAAATAACAATTAAATAAATTGCTATTTAACCATTTTTGGCAAGAAATTTCTAACAGTGTAAAGTTAATATTTTTTTCTAAAATATCATTGGGAATGTTCTGATCATTTTAATTGTAAATCAAATTTAAAAGATGTTTGAAATATTGAATTATTTATTGAGTGCGTTTCATGGCAAAATGTTTGAAAAATACAAATCAGAATTGTAGATAAAATAGACAATTAACCTCGACAAAATGAAAAAAAGGCATTTACCATAAAATTCATCTACTTGATAGACATCATTTATAAGTTTCGGGAAAAGGAGAACAAGGCGTTTGGCAAGCTCAATATGCACTGGTGTCGCATTCAGTAAACATAAATGAAGAATTGTTTCACCAAGGGACCCTCTCTGATCTAAATCCCAACATACTTCTCGAAACTGAGGTGCAACTGTAAAAAAGATTAATCATCATTGTCAAAAGTATAAAACCAAAAATCACAAATGAGTTTACAATAGCAAAGATCATTTTTACGTACATGTACAGTCTTTTGAATGAGGATCATCAACAGGAACTACAACTGATTTGTTGGAGGGTTTGTAATTTGGATCTCGATTTTGAGGTAATTGTTTGTGTTTTGGACGATCCTTATTTCGAGTCACTACCAAATCTTGAATTGGTATCATTTTCCCATCTCCGTTGTTATATAAAAATGGCAGCACCATTTCTCGAAATTGATCATCTAACTATGAGAGAAAAATGATAATACCCGATGATTAAAACCAGGAATTGACATCATTTTTTTTTGTTGATAAATATGACTATAGAAACCTAATTCCAAAAAACAATAACTGCAACTTATAAATGCAATTTTATAGCAACTTATTACCCAAAACTAAAACCATCATGTACAGGTTAGTACTTTTTAATGCATTTTGAAATCAAATAAAAATTTGCATGTATTAAAACTGTGGTATTTAAGTTGTAGGTACAGTGAGCAAAATATAAAACGGACTATCTTGAATAACTTTTGGTCTAATGATCCGTTCTAAACGCTCTAGGACTCAATCTCAATGGTTCAAGGGGGTAAATATAGGACGGTCAGATAGTTCCTTTCGCTCAAATTTTGCATTTTACCATGTAAAATTTAAATCTTTAAAATGGTGTTAAAAATTGTAAACCTCACAATTCAAGATTTTTCTGACTATTAATGAATGAAATGTGAAAAAGTAATTATTTATTACAAAAATCTATTTTTTTTTTTAGAATTCATTTTCCATAAACTAATGTTACTAAATAACAAAAATGGTGTCGGCTACTTTACTCAAAGTAATGTAAAAAAATTGGTGTAGGGAAACATTAGATCCAGGAATTATGTATGGCGTTTCACTTCACTTTGGTGTGAAGTAGCTGCCACCATTTTTGGCACTAAGAAACACTAAAAATTTTTATAGTGTATGAATAACAATATGAAGCTAGAAAATATAAAAATAAAAACATTAGTAAAGGTTTGTTCAGTGTGTACTTAGTTTCATTGCGTTTAATTTTCCCCAATACTTGATTGAAATTATCACCTTTCTTAAGAATAATTTACTTTTCTTCGTATGAGAAAAAAAAGACAGATTTATACACTTTCAGTTAAAGCACTATAATTATTAGAAATTGCTAAAATGATCAAAAAATTGGTTTAAAAAATTATAACACTTTATAGCCAATTTAAAATTCAAAACCTGTACTTACATTTGAATAATCTTTGTTTTTTATGGCGTCTTTCATAAGAGTTATTAATTGTCCTCCTCCTTTAACATTTACCAATGAATATATTTTCAAAGACTCACTGTCAGTTTGCTTTTTCACGGCAGAAGAGGTGACATTACTTTCAGCATTTCCCATGATCAAATCTGAAAATATATCCTTTGAAAGGTTGCCAAAACATACAGTGAGCAAAAAAAGCGAACATCTTTAATAACTTTTAAAGAAATGGTCGTATTTTCACGCTCTGGGGCTCAATCTTAGTAGTTCGTTGGGACTGATTTTAAATATGTTTAACCCCTTAACGATCGGTTAATTTTCAAGAAAGCGGTTATAAAAGTGCCTATTTTTTTTGGCTTTTGTATTTGTATTACGTATTTGATTAGTGTTGCAACTAGTTTAAACTAACTATCTACAATTACCTTAAAAGTATCCTGGTACTGCCATCTGGTGTGCAAAATGAGAAATAAAATGTTTTCCCGGCAAAAGAAATGAATTAGTTTTATTCTCATTGGCGTGTTACTACTGAACACTCCAGCACGTCAATATCGCGGGAGCAAGAAATAGAGGGCGAAACCTCACCCCGTCATTTTTACGGGAGCGAAAAGGAAGGGGTTAATGATTTGAAGCAGTGGTCGGAAGTAGTGAAACTACTGTAGTCGCTACTTCTTTTCGTAGTTTGTAGTGTAGTGTGCTGTTTTTTTAAAAAAGTAGTGTAGCGAGTCGTTCGATACAAAAAACAATAACTTGTAGGGATTCTTGGCAACTACTTTTTAAGTATAGTTTAGTAAAGAAATAGGGTTCTAACACAACTAATTTTTCGAATTTAATGGGTACAAATCTTCACGGGTCGTAAATGTTTGCAATTTGAAATTCTCCGGTGACTTATGAGTTATGATGTGACTTATGATGAGTTGTGACTTATGATGACAGGAATTACTAATTTGGAATCACGTAAAACTAATAATTAAGCTAGCAATTAGAAATAATAGATAATTTATCACTAAGTCGCACTTTCACATACGAATGAATATTGAAGGATTCATGTTATTTTAAAGGAAGGAAAAATATTTTCGATGTTCTTAATTTCTTAGAGGAAATAAAAGAGCATTAATCACTTAACGAAATTGCAAGCATTTGATAATTTCCTAGCATTTCTAAAATTGAATATTAGCTTTTGATAAGGGCCAAAGAAATTAAAGATCAAATGAACAAATTCGAAAAAAAAATGTTTCAGAATAGCAAACTGGATCCTGTAAACATGAATAAACATATCTAAATAATTCTTCATGTTTAATATAAGTAAATTTTTCATTTAAAACCATTTTGAATATAATATCTAAATTATTTTCTCCAGAAGTGTAAATTAAATTTTCCCAGCAAAGTTCAGTTCCTTAGACTATATCAGTAGTCTAAGGAATATATCCATTCACTATATCATTAGTCTATACTGATATAGTCACGACATTTCGAAAGCAGTTTGTAGTCACTACATTTATAAAAAAAGTAGTTAATTATACTAATATACCGACCACTAATTTGAAGACATGAAATCAGGAACAAAAACGCACTTCTTCTAAATAAACTTAACTCCTTTTCGACAGACTTGGATTCATAATTCTCGAATTGTGAGGGATAGTGGCCGCAAATCTGGAAAATTTGATCGCAATAGTTTAGGCAGGAGAGTGAATGGAAATAAATGTAGGCCTTTTAATGTAAATTTTACTTTTTGCGTATTTCGCAATTTGAAGTCGTATTTAAATGTTATTTTTCAAGAACCATTAGATCAAATCAATTCAATTGTTAGATTTTATAATTTGAAATTACACAGTGAAATTACATTTTATAATTTGACATTACATGTAAATGAATTCTTGTAAAATATATGGCTACTGACGTAAATTAACGTTATGCACGTAAAAGTTATCACCAATTTGGTCCGTGACGCTGTTTCCTACCATTTTAGCTTGAAGAATGTTCTATGTTTTGGCTTCGAATTCAAGAACAATGTAGTAAATATCACCACTAGACCAGAAAAAAAACTGTTTTGGTTACTGGTGACCATAAAAATACATGTTTGCATGTATTCTCGTAAAATGTATGGCTACTGACGTAAATTAACGATATGCACGTAAAAGTTTTCATCAGTTTGGTCCGTGACGTTGTTTGCGACATACAAGATACGATTGACGAATCAAGGTGATATAGTGTAGTGCTGCCATCTGTTGAGGAGTGAGAGAACTGCACGTTCACTAATGCTTTTGGCTCTAACTGTGTTTGAACCCGGAGTTTTTATTTTATTTTACTTTATTCCAAAGACAAAACACATTCTACAGTTAAAAAATCGAGTTACAGTGGTGTATACAATGAGTAAAAAAAAAGAAAAAAAGAACGCTATTGCAATAATAAAATATTTTTTCATAATTTTTCGGAAACAGTAAGAGACATATCAAAGATATCAAGGCCTGTATCATGTTCGCTAAAAATATTTTAAAATATGTATTAAGAAAATTTTTTGTGTAATTATATTTACAAAATAAGCTCACAAATAATTATTCATTTTGTTTATTAAGACTTTTTACAGATAATTGAATGATCTTTAAAATATTAGAGCAATCAAACAATCATATAATTAAGATTGTTGATCTTGTTTATTTTTTTGCGGAAAAATAATGAAAGAGAAATCTCTACATTGTAAAAAATTCTAGATAGAATTAAGGAAAAAAGTACTGACACCCTAATCTGGCATCCGTAAAGTCCATAATACCATAAAATTTAATACTGTAATTTTTAGATTAATATTTATCAGATAACAGTGATTCAGAAATTTTTACAGTAAATATTACGGTTAAAATTATGGCATATTAGATTTTTTTGATCCGTTACATTTTATGGTAAAATGGATTTAACGGTAAAAAGTACTGACACCCTGAGTACCGGTACATTTCCACGTAATTTAATCCGGAATTTTTAAGAGTGTCAATTATTTTAATAGCATTTCAATTATAAAAATTCAAAGCTTTTTTTGTGTCCACAACCTAATATTGTGGCCATCACAGAAAAATGTGTACACCCCCGAAATTAGTTGGGAAACTTTAGATAGTAACGGTTCAAATAAGATCGACCATACTAATTTCGACAAAGTTCGTTACACGGGCACTGGACTTTTTTTCTCAAAGAAGGGAGCTGGTTGTATAAACTTACGGTCAACTCTACTTTTTTTGCTAAAATTCGTTACAATTATGGGTACTAGGCTTTTTCTAAAGAAGGTGTTGACTGTATAAATTAAGAACCAACTCCCCGGATTTTATGGAAGCTTTATAGAATGCATAAATATTTATCGTTTTAATATGTTGTTGTTGATAGAATTATCTTGTTTTTATAAAATATATCCTGTTAATGAAGCACTTACACAATCACATTTTTCACTTTTTGAAAAAAAGAACCACCACTTTAAAAGAACGCTAGGCAAGTTTAGTTATACTCATAATAAATAAATATAAGTCGGATAACTGTAACTTGGCAGAATGAACTAACTGTATAAGTAAATAAGACTTCTTTTGGGAGAAATAATTTTTTTCTTTTTTTTTACAAATTTGATTGCAAAAAAAAGAAAAATAATTTCTTTTTAGAAATACCATGAAGTTTTCGTCCACTGAAAACTTAAATTTTAATTCTAAAAATTTATTCACCAACTCAATATTTATTTTGGACTACTAATTTGCCGGTAATTTTCTTCTATATTTTAATGAAAAAGTAAAAATTTACGATGAATGCAAAATTGTAATTGTAAAAATTTAAGAAGTAACATAAGATGCTTCTTACTTTAATTAAATACTTTAATGAATCTTGAATCTTTCTTTGTATCATTAAAAAGCATTTAAATTGTTCAAATTTCAAATATCCGCAGAAAAAAGTTTCTTTTCTTTCTTTTTTTTTGCAATCAAATTTGTAAAAAAAAAGAAAAAAAAACTTTTTTTTTACAAATACATTGAAATTTTCGTCCACTGAAAACTTGCATTTTTATTCTAAAAATTTATTCACTAACTAAATTTTTAATTTTAGATTACTAACTTGCCGGTAGTTTTTTTCTATATTTTAAGGAAAAAGTAAAAATTTACGGTTAATACATAATTATAATTGTAAGAATTTCAGAAGTAACATAAGATGTCTCTCACTTTATTTAAATACTTTGATGAGTCTTTCTTTGTATTATTAAAAAACATTTAAATTGTTCAAATTTCAGATACATGCGGAAAAAAGATAGTCACCAAGGACACCAATTTCAATGATATTTCAAATCAAAAGTATGAAATACTCACCCGTTTAAAAAGAACTTTTTTTTCCAACTTTAATGACAATTTTGTCTTGAGTAATCCTCTGGATCCATTCTTTAAGATGAATAATATAAGAATTTGTTTCTTAATTTTCGGTATCCAAGACAATCCAATATGTTTCATTTCGTTGGCGCCATCTGTAACTACAATCATCAGAAATGAGATTGCAAAAGAAAGAAAAATAAAACCAATCATTTTTCAGTAGAAATGAAGATTGTAAAGTTATTTATTTTAAAACTTTTCGAATAAAAAAAATCTAAATTTTGTGCCTTTTAAGTTTTTATTTTTCTACTTTTTCATAATATTTCAAATTCGACTAATCTTGTAGTGATTTTATTGGAATAAGTTTGGTAAGGAACCGTAATTATTCATTCCAACAATTAATTTACAACTTTTAAAGCTTAATCTATCTAAAATAATCTAAATTTTGTACATTTTAAAGTTTTTACTTTTTTAATTTTTTCGAAATATTTTGAAATTTGCCTAATCTTGTAGTGGTTTTATTGCCATAAGTTCGATAACCGTAACTATTAATTCCAACAATTAAATTTATTATTGATATAAATCAGAGTTTCAAATGTTTTAAATGATTTTTAAGCAATGTAACGAAAGCAACAAATAGAAAAGATTTGTAGAATAATTATGAGCTTATATAAAATAGTATGAGTAAATGGGATATTAAATATTCGAACCAAATAATAAAAATTAATTTACTTATAAAGTAAAAAGGTTTAATAATTTTTATATGACTGGATTATTAAAGTAAAAAACAGTAACTAAATATATGATACACTCTCAAAAAAG